ATCCTGCCCAGCGCTGGGGCAGTCCCTGGGGCAGCATCACCCCAAACTTCCACTGAAGAGCCAGAAAACACCCAGCGGCAGGGGGTGCACCCCAGATATCCCCGTCAGATGCGGACGGTGTTGATGCGCAGCGGTTGGACGTTCTTGCCATTGGCGTGGCTCTGCCCGGGGCTGAAGTAGGAGCAGAGCTTGCCGGGAAAGCGCTCCCGGAAGGTGTAGAGCCAGGACATGTCGTCGGCGTTGTAGAAGATGAGGAGCCCCTTGTCGTAGTCCAGGAAGACCCCCACCTTCTCCAGCTTGGTCTTGACGTTGAGCCGGGTCCAGGGCTCGGTGCAGGCGCTGTACTGGTTGCCGTCGTGCATGACGATGCAGTAAAACCCACCGCCGTGGATTTGGATGCTGCCTTTGCGGCTGACGGCTTCGTGGGCCAGGCCGATCATCCACTGGGTCTTCTCGGAGACCACCACCTCCCAGTAATGGACCCCGCTGCCGAATGCCTCCGCCCCCAGCACTGACACCTCCACGTCAAAGCGTTTGGGGGAGTCCTGGAGCGGCTGGGGGTGCAGGTTGCCATAGGCCACAATGGTGCAGTCGTCGGAGAGGATCAGGCGGTGGTGAGCTGTGCCGGGGTCCAGTGTCAGGGCTGCCGGCACTGGAGGGACATGGGGACATGAGCATGAAGGCAGCCCCCAGACCCAGTGCAGGGGCTGTGTCCCACCAGTTTGCAAAGCACCATGGTGTGGAGAAGGCCACCAGTGCATGCACATCCTTCACCAGCATGTGCCCTTCCTTCACCAGTGTGTCCCCGTTCCCCGCTGGTGATGTGCCCATCCCTTGCCACTGAAGTCCCTGTCCCTCATCAGTGATGTCCCCATCCTCCTCGCCCCTTGGTACATCCCCAATCCTTCACCAGTGACGCCCCTGTTCCCATCTCTTGTCAATGATGTACTCATCCCCATCCCTCATCAGTGATGTCCCCATCCCTTGCTGAAGATGGCCCCGTACCCATTCCTCGCTGGTGATGTCCCTGTCCCCACCCCTCTCTGGTGGGTCCTCATCCCCATCCCTAACTGGTGATGTCCCCATCCCCACACCTCACTGGGAACCCCCCACCACCACTGCAGTCCCCCCTGCACCCCTCACCAGGATGGATGTCCTGGAAGAGGGATTTCCAGATGGTGAACTGCAGCGGCCCCATGTACTTGGAGGTGGGGAAGTCCTCGTAGGTCAGGTTGGTCTCGTGGATCTTCCCCTTCAGCCTGCGAAGCAGAGACGATGGAGAAAGGAGGGGACACAACGTGGGGGACCCCCGTGTCACCCCACTGTCACCCACCTCTCGGAAAGGGACGCAACACCGGCTAAAAAGACATGCTTGTCGGCTTCGGCCAGGCGCTCCTGGAGGATCTGGCTGCCCTCCTGCACCTTGCGGAGCTGCTGGCTGTAGCGCTGGATCTTCTGCTCGATGTCGGTCAGCGTCCGTGCCGTGTCCGCCTCCAGCTCCTCCAGCATCGCCTTCTGCCGCTCCCGCAGCAGCCGGTGCAGCCGCTCAAAGGCTTCCCCGATGGTCACCCGCAGGCTCTTGGCTGAGGACTTTTTGAGGTGCGGGTGGGTGGCGGGACCCCCCAAACCTGCCCCGACCCCGCCACGAATCCATAATTGCCCAAATAAACCCGTTAACCCAAACGATTCTGAATGCTCCAATGGGTGATTGACCCTGCGCCCCTATAGGAAGCCTAAAATAAAACCCATTGCTGGTGGGGACTGAGAGAAAATTGAACCTCGCTGAACGCCTGAGCAAGGAGAGGGCGATAAATATGAAACAAAAATTTTAAACATAAAGAAAAGCAGCCCTAAAGGAAATAAAACAGGGATGAGCAGCCTGAGTGGTGGCTTTATCAACCTGCCAGTGTGCTTTGGGTTAATAGGGAACAAAAAATTGGGGTGGATTCATGAAACTCTGGGGTTTGACTTCATTGGAGGTGCCCAAATGAGGGTGGCGAGGCTCGGGGCTGGGGTGCTACGGGGGGCACAGCCGCGTCCCTGCTCGTACCTTGGTCTCAGCCAGCTGCCGCTTGAGGAGGTGCAGGGCTTCAGTGTGGCCACGCTCGCTCTCCTGCAGCCCCTGGAGCTGCTCCTTCAGCTCCCGCTGGGGGAAAAAAGCCATCAAATAGGGGATTTGGGGGAAAAAATAGGGGATTTTGGCCTTCCTGACAAAACCTGGGTTGCTCAGTTACGGGGTCATGGAAAAGGGGCTGCAGGGGGTGGCAGGGGCATAGTCAGTTGTTGCCAGCATGGGGGTCCCATCCAGGGCACAGTTTGGGGGTGGACAACGGATTGGTGGGGTCCTACTTGGGCAGCAGCTTGGCAGATCCATGGGGATGCATGGCTGGCTGGTTTGGGGGTCCCAAAGGACACCCAAAGGGCCCAATGTGGATGGAGGAGAGGATCCCAGGGGGCTGCTGTAGAAGTGTGTGTACATCGATGGACAGACAGACAGACGGGAGGAAGCCACGAAACTGACCCCAATGGGGACAGAAGGACAGGACAAAGCCACAGGGCTGACCCCAGTGGGGACAGAAGGGGTGCAGGGACAAATGGACCGGGACAAAGCCATGAGGGTGTCCTCAATGGGGACAAAAGGAAGCCATGGGGATGACCCCAATGGGGACAGAAAGGCAAGAGGGGACAGACGAACAAGTTGCTGAGATTTGCGGCTCAGGGCAGGAGATCCTGGAGGGATGGTGCTCCATGGACAGAGGGATGGATGGACCCACCTGCAGCTCCTCGAAGGCATCGTCCACGTTGGTGACCTGGTGCTGCTCATGCACAGCGGGCTCGTCGCAGAAGAAGCAGACGACGGCGCGGTCAGTGAGGCAGAAGAGCTTGACCTTCTCGTGGTCCTTGCAGGGGAAGGGGCTGCGCTGGGCGCCCAGGATGGCGTCCAAGGGGAAGGCGCTGTAGCGCTCCACAATGTTGGCCAGTTTGAGGCTGGGGGCTAAGGTGGGCTCGGCAAAGGTGCGGCGACATTCGGGGCAGTCACGGGTGCCCTGGGGCTCCTGGCGGACCCAGTGCTCGGTGATGCAGCGGCGGCAGAAGTAGTGCTCACAGCCGAAGCTCACTGGGTCCTGGTAGATGCTCAGGCAGATGGAGCACAGCAGCTCGTCCTTCAGGCTGCAGGCCATGGCTCGGGGCTGGGGGAGTTTGCAGGGGGG